GTTTCAGACCGTTCCATTTAGAATATTCAATCTGAATGGACACTTCTCTGACTCATGTTAACCGAATCCGAAGATAGTTTCCCAAAATTTTCGAAAAAAAGGATATCAAGACAACTTAAATGCCTTCCTTCTTTTTCTAGACAAGCATTCCATTTAATATCTTTTCTAACCACATTTTTAAGCAAAGCTGTGAAGATCAAAATGGTGTGGTCTTTCACATAGTGGCAATCTCCTTGTCTCGTTTTCGCAAATTGGTCGCGCTGTCAGAGTTTGTGATAGGGCCTGAATGTAATAAGAGGAGTAAATAGGTGAGCCAGGACAGAAAGTGGAGTGATACTACAACCATTTCGCCAGAAAGTTTGGTCAAAGGATTAATAACACTTGTCTTTTGACCAGTTGTAGCTGAGATTGGTGCTGACGATGTCGGCGAAACGTCTGAGAATGCATAAAGACGTTGGGAACTATGATAACTACTGTAGCAGAGAACTTCGGCCAAGGCGCGTTCAACTAGGTCGCCCTGACAACACGATCATGTTGTCAACCCACTTCAACACATTTTTACAGTTATTTTTTTGCCAATTTTTCAAATAAAACAATCATACTACTCAGATGGAAAGTCGGTAGTACCAATAATAAAATACAATTAAATCTCTACAAGAGTATGAGGCTAAATTTGAAGAATGTATTCCACCCGAACTGCGTACTCCTTCATTTTTTGTTTTCTGCTTCCGGCTTACTATGACCCGTTTGAAAGGGGAATTAAGTCTAATAATCTTCCAACTCCTTTATTAGTATCCTCTCCATCTTTTGCGAAAAAATGGAAATAAAGTAAGAACATTCCACGTCCCAGTTTAACCTTAAAAATGTGGTTAAAAAAGGTCTTTCTATCTAAGATAACAACTTCTTCCTCGAGTTAATATGATACTCAAAAAAGTCCTTGTGACGAGACTTTTTGGACTGAAAGGTCTAAAGCAAACCGAGAGGTGCTTTGCAGACTAGCCTTTTTGAAGGAAAAAACTGCTGCCTTTATGGTGTCTGCTTAGAGAATAAGGTGTTTTCGAAGAAAAAATAGACGATTTTGTGACCTTCAACTGTGATGGTTAGGCTGGCAAAAAAAGTCGAATGTTGCCATGTAACTGGGCTCTCTATTGTTTTGCCCGGGCATATTGAATGCTAATGTTAATGTTAACGTGAGGAGGTGGCCCAAGGAGGGGCCATAGGCAAGTACAGTGCCGAGTCTACCTCCTTGGTTACAAGTCAGTCGGGGTAAGTGAGACTCGGACTCTGAAGATGATCCGTTCGTGGGGTCATGTAGTGGTCACGCCGTGCTGTACCCGTTCCTCCTCTCTCCCCCATCTTTATCCTCTTCCTCCTCGGACTCGGGCTTGGACTGCGAGGTCGGTAGGGCTGTGATCGCATCGTCGGGTCCGGCCATGATGATACGTCGAAGTTGAGCAAAAAG